CTCTCCCTCCATTCGTTAACTTTTCTTAGTCCTCTTTCTACCTAGAATCTTATAGTTTAAGGCTTTGATAAATCAAGTATGTATTTAAATTAATTATAGGAGTTCCATTATCCACATGTGCTATGATTCACAAACACTTAGGTCATCTCATCGCAGGAGGGATTCCTCCTGCATTGCACTGTGGCTTAGCGAAATAGCACAAGGCTAGAAAGCCAGTGAGACAGGCCTGGGTTAGGCTCGACTACTTGTCCTGACTCAGGACAGGTGTGCAGCCTCTGTGCACTTCTTTTTCTTCACCTGTCACTTGGGATAGTCTCAGCCCTCATGTTCTATGCTTTTATATAGTTTTTTCCTTAAAAGAGCAGTCTTCCGTAACATGGACTAAAAATGAGGAGAGCAAATTAAAAAAACAAAATCATTTTAAACCTTTCTTGAGAATTAAGTAGTGAAACATATGGTTACAAAAATGTTTAAAATTAATCAAAAACTTTTTCTTGGAATCAAGAAAACAATTCTATTTATAATAAAAAAGAATAAAGTGTTTAGGAATGAATTTAGCCAAAGTGTAAACATTATTCCCTGAAAACTATTACACATTGTTGAAAGAAATATTAAAGACCAAAATAAAGGGGAACAACATCCTATAGTCGTGGATTGGAAGGCACAATAATGTTAGCATGGGAATAGTCCCCATTTTGATCTACAGATTCAACATGATCCCTTTCAGATTCCCTGTTGGTGTTTTTGCAAAAATCAACAGGCTGATCCTAAAATTCATATGGAAATTCAAGGGACAGAGAGTAGCTAAAATAACCTTAAAAAAGAACAAAGTTGGAGAACTCATACTTCCTAATTTTTAAACTTGCCACAGAGCTCTAGTAACCAGCACTGTGTGGTACTGGCATAAGGACAGACATAGAGTACATCAATGAAATAGAATTGAAAGTCAGAAATTATCTCCCACATTTTTGATTAATTAATTTTTGAGGAAAGTGCTAAGACAATTGAATGAGAAAAATAACCTTTCCAACAAATAATACTGAGACGGCTAGATGTCAACATGCAAATGAATGAAGTTAGACCCTTTCATCACATCAAATATAAAAATTTACTAAAAACTGATCAAAAATTCAAATGTAAGAAGAAAAACTATAAAACTCATAAAAATGTATAGGAATAAATCTCCATAACCTTAGATTAATGAAGCCTTCTCGAATATGACACCACAAGCACCTGCTACACAAGCAAATATAGACAAATTGGACTTCATCAAAATTAAAAGATAAAAAAGCTTTTATGCTTCAGAGAGCACAGTCAAGAAAGTGAAAAGTCAGCCTACAGAATGAGAGAAAATATTTACAAATTATATATCTGATAAGGGACTTGGATCCAGAATGTATAAAGAATTCTTACAACTCTATAATAAAAAGACAAGTAATCCGATTTGAAAATGGGCAAAGGATCTGAATAGACATGTCTCCAAAAAAGATATGCAAGTGGCCAGTAGGCGCATGAAAAGATAATTGCTTCATATCATTAGTTATCAGAGAAGTACACATTGAAACCACAGTAAGGTACCACTCAGTGCCCACTAGAATGACCACAGTCTAGCAGACCATAACAAGTACTGGGGAGAATGGGAAGAAATCAGAGCCCTGTTTCCCTGCTGGTGGGAATGTAAAGTGGTGCAGCCACATTAGAAAAGTCTACACTTCCTCAATTGGTAAAACAGTTCTCATCTGACCCAGTAATTCCAGCCCCAAGTATATAACTAAAAGAAATTAAAACATATGTTCATGAAAAGACATGAATGTTCATGGTAGCATTATTCACAAAAGGCAAAGGATGGAGGCACCACAGATATTCATCTCATGGACGGTTAAATAAAGTTTGGTATACTTATATAATAGAATATTCATTTGGCCATAAAAAATGAACAATGTGCTGATTCAAACCACAATATGGATGAACCTTGAAAATGTTATGCTAAGTAAAAGAAACCAGGCATAAAGACCAGACATTAATATAATTCCATTTATACGAAGTGCCCAGAATAGGCAAATCTGGAGATACAAGGTAGATTATCTGTTTGCCAGGGCTAGGGTACTAGGAGAAAACTGGTTTGCCAGGGCTAGGGTACTAGGAGAAAACTGGTTTGCCAGGGCTAGGGTACTAGGAGAAAACTGCTAAATGATATAGGGTTTCTTTCTGGGATGATGAAAGTGTTCTAAAATTGATTGTGGTGATGGTTGTACATTTCTATGAATATAACAAAAGCCATTGAAGCATATGCTTTAAATGAATGAGTTGTATGCTATGTGAATTTTGCCTCAAAATAGCTGTTCTAAATAATCGTTAAAATTACATTTTGACCAGGCGTGGTGACTCATGCCTGTAATCCCAGCACTTTGGGAGGTCGAGGCAGGGAGATCACGAGGTCAGGAGTTCAAGACCAGCCTGGCCAAGATGGTGAAGCCCCACCTCTACTGAAAAAGAAAACACAAAAGTAGCTAGGTGTAGTGGCAGGTTCCTGTAATCCCATCTATTCAGGAGGCTGAGACAGAGAATTGCTTGAACCTGGGAGGCGGAGGGTGCAGTGAGCTGAGATCGCGCCACTGCACTCCAGCCTGGGCGACAGAGCGAGTCTCTGTCTCAAAAAAAAAAAAAAAAACAAAAATTACATTTTAAGAACTAGAAATTATAGTTAATTTTGACTGGTTATCCAAGATAACTTTAGGAACCAGATAAGGAAAGATCCACCTTTCTAGCATGACATTAAAGTTCTGGTAATGTCAGAACTTTGTAGTCACATAGCTCTTGATTTCAATCCTGTTTCAGAATAGTTGATTTATATAGCTTTCCTGAATCTCAGCTTCATGTGGGTAATAATAGTTCTTAGCCCGTGGGTTGCTCGGAAAATTAAATGAGTGACCCCATCTGAAGAGCTTAGCACAGTGCTGTCAGTGATAGCCCTCAGGAGGGGCCATAACCATCATAAGGTTGTGGTAAGAGTTGGAGGAGAAAGGCCCTTCCTCATCTTTACGAGTGCTGTTCCTCCTGCCTGGAGTACCACCCTGTCTCACGGCTTGATTAATCCCTTTATGAACTCCCTGGTAGACTCCATTCAAGCTCCATTTCTGGGGGGCATTTCTTACATGCTCGCCTGGCAGCCATGCTAGAACCCCAAAGCCTTTCTCCCCTTGCAGACCTGTCATTTTACTAGGTTCAGCACTGGTTTGTTGGCCCATCTGACCCTCTCTGTGAGAGCTGAGAGCAGGAGCTGCTGCTTCACTCCCAGATCCCCAGTGCTTAGCTCAGTGCTTAGTGATTGGTGGGTGCGTGGTGAACAATGGCTGAAAGAATCAATAAATTGTATGAATAGGGTCAAATGCTTCCACTGGACTCCCAAACATTAGTTTACTGGTAAGTAGGTTAATCTGAAATGTTTTATGTTGAAAAATTTATTTAGTGATTTGACATCATTGGTTTCTTAGTATACTTTGAGAAAATAGTATAGTCCTGACATTGAAATAACGATAAACATCAAAAAACCTAAATTTAATTATAAATTTACATTTAAATGTAACTGTTACAAGTCAATAGAAAAATTTTTTAAATTAATAATTAGCCACTAATTACTTACTGGCTAATAAGTAGGTTTTCATTTCAAAAGGCACTTTTTTTGAAGGACCTCTTTGTGCTGTATAAACCTCTGTGGAAAGTTGAAACTTTGTATTTCTTAACGTACCATCTGAATTGACAAGGGAAATTGAAAATTTGAATTTCCACGGTAGTCCCATTGTATTTCTTAATGATAATAATGTTGCTGTAAATGTACGTATCAAGTTTGTGGAGTAAGTGAATCTGGTGTTTGCACTTGCGCTAAGCCATATTCTTGCCAAAATTTGGAAAGCCTATTTAGAAATATTGCCCTTATCCGTGTGCCTGTTCTCCAGAAGCCATACACTTTGATCATAATATTTGCCTCCCTGCTTCATCTGCAAAAGAACATAAAGTCATTGGTATGTGATAAATTATGATATTCATGTATCTAAACTGTATGAATCCATTATTAACTGCTAATATGTGTATTATTACCTTGAGAATTTGGTATTAAATGGTGTTTTCTCATAACCTTACCTAGATACAAGGTAAAACTGTCTCAGAAGTGCCTTTTAACTTTGTGATCTTTTAAAAGCAGATAGAGTTTTCATTAAAGACCAGAGAACATTAAAGCAATTTCAGTACTTTCATCAATATATGGTCCCTTTCATCCAATCATTTCAAAATATTACACAAAATGTAGGAGCCCTTTCTGTAGATAACACTGAAATGAAGTTGGAAAGTGGCATTGCCTTAAGTATAGTACAGAGAAACTTTTGCCCGGGGGCCATATCATATCGTTTGGATGGCTGTGCAGGTTTCTAAGTAAGAGCCATCACCACTTATTTTGTTAAGAGAAAGGCAGCCCAAATAAATTCCTTTCTTGTTTCCTTTAACTAGTTACCCTGTGAACTAAGCTATGTTTCTTTCTCTCCCCATGAGTCCCAAAGTAGCTTTATTAATAGGAATATATGATGTTTGTGTTCTTAAAAAAAATCAGGGTGGTCTTAGATGTCTGTCGTCCATTCTGGCATTTCCCTTTATACAACCCTTTAGAATTTTCTGTTAAAAAAAAACTGGCATTCCAACAGCTTTTCTTTGGCCTAATGCCTGGGCTGCATATTGAAGCAGCAAATTAAGAATGTTAAGATGTCCCCGAAAGAAAAACATTTGTTATGAAAGTAGAGCTGATGTGACATATAGAATTAGGGCTTCTTAACTTATCTAAATGACAGTTAATGATCTTTTTTCTTTTTCTTTTCTTTTATTATTTTAACAGGGTGGCTGGGAGTGCAGAATGAAAGAAATGCCCGGAGGCCAAAATTGGGTTTGGTTCACCAAACTGTTAAATGTGTCAAATGCACTTGACTGATAATACATCTTTTGCCTCTTTTTAGGAGCTAATTTCGTTACTCGAAAAATTAGCCGGTCAGTAGCTAAGATTTACCTTGGACAACTGGAATGTTTCAGTTTGGGAAATCTGGATGCCAAACGAGATTGGGGCCATGCCAAGGACTATGTGGAGGTAGGAACTGACACATTACATTCTTGAAAATACGCGTATCCATTGATATTCTAAATGCCAAGCGTACAGTGAAAACATGTGACCTAGAGATGGGGGCATACAAACCTTTGCCGATGCAGATATGTTTACACTCATGCTACTTTCAATTCTGGGATCGGTGGTTCAGAAGTACAGGTAGCTTACACTGATTGGTACTTGAATGAGGAAAACTTTCACAAATATTCTTTTAATTATTTGTGCTGGATGTTAGATGGATAAATAGATGGAAAAAATGTTTGAATGGTGCTCCTCTTTATTTTGGAGGTATAAAAGTACCAGTTTTCAGATCGCCTAGAAATACTGCCTCATTTCAATGTATATAATCCAAGATTCTCGGACTTACATTATTCTACTAAATCCCGTCCTGAGTAATATTCTTATGGAACTCCTTGCTTTCTGCTGCTGAAGAGTCTGGTTATTAACATCACACACTTCTTAACGTGTCAGATTGCATGTCGTGGAGCTTTACCTATTAACGAGAGATAGAGAAAGATGTTAATAATGATTCTCTTGTAAAATAATGGATATTATTAAAGGGAAATTCAGATTTTCGATTCTCTTGTAAAATAATGGATATTATTAAAGGGAAATTCAGATTTTCGTTCTTGGGATTCCTAGACATGCTGTTTTGGGTTTGCATATATTACATATACAAGTAGTATGATTTTTCTTTTATAAACAAGTGGTTACATTTTACTTTGCCCTGATCTCCCTGCTTTTAAATATCCGTGTTGGTTCTGCGACCAGACACGAGCAAGCGTGGTAGAGACATTTTCCTTTCCCTGGAGTTGCCTGTCCTTATTCAAGGGCTCACAGATCTCCTGTGCTCATGAGTCTGTTTCCGTCCTGAGTGGTCCCTCTCTGGGAAACCGGACCCAGCTTTCTTGTTCATTTATGCAATTCAGAAAGAAACTGTAATGCCTACAAAAGAAAGCAAACAGTTTGTTTGTTTGCTAGTGCAGAGATTAGGCTCACCTGCGATCTTCTTTTTGTTTATAGTAATAAAAAATGTGTGTGTGTTTGAACACCTAATAGTGATTTCTGTTACGCACAAAATAATTAGCTTTGACTTTAAATTTTGAACATTGCAACATTAAGATCATTTATTTGTTTATTTATTTTTGAGACAGAGTCTCACTCTGTTGCTCAGGCTAGAGTGCAGTGGCATGATTTCGGCCTACTCCAACCTCTGCCTCCCAGGTTCGAGCGATTCTCTTGCCTTAGCGTCCCGAGTGGCTGGGATTACAGGCATGTGCCATCACACCTGGCTAAGTTTTGATTTTTTTAGCAGAGATGGGGTTTCACCATTTTGGCCAGGTGGGTCTCAAACTCCTGACCTTAGGTGATCCGCCCGCCTCAGCCTTCTGAAGTGCTGGGATTACAGGGATGAGCCACCGTGCCCAGGCTAGATCTTTTAAATATGTGCTTCTAAGCTATAATTACAAAGAAGCATTTTATGACATTAATCCTTAGATATATTTTCAGAACATCACATCAAAAACTATATAGGTCCACACTTAGAAATTATGAGAAAGTAGATACCGGCAAGAGAAGCCAAAACTTTCTTTTGTCTAACCTAAATGACCTTACCTACTAAAAAATAAGAGGCTTGTTTTGTAAAAATACATTATTTTCTCAATAATATCTATTTATCGTTTAGCCTTCTAGCCATCAGCATCTGCATAGAGCTATGTAATAAGCTATATAGGTATTCTTTTTTTTTTTTTTTTGAGACGGAGTCTTGCTCTGTCGCCAATCTGGAGTGCAGTGGCACAATCTCGGCTCACTGCAACCTCTGCCCCCTGGGTTCAAGGGATTCTCCTGCCTCAGACTCGTGAGTAGATGGGACTACAGGCGCGTGCCACCACACCCAGCTAAGTTTTGTATTTTTAGTAGAGACGAGATTTCACCGTGTTGACCAGGATGGTCTTGATCTGTTGACCTCATGATCCACCCACCATGGCCTCCCAAAGTGCTGGGATTACAGGCTTGAGCCACTGCACCTGGCCCTATATAGGTATTCTTTATCCAAAATCTTCTCCAAGTTCAAGGAAACAAATAGATTAAATTTCATTCAATTTTATTATTTTGCACTTAGGTGAAAAAGGAGTCGGGAATCTAATAGATTTTGATAGTGAGGGAAATGGTATACCATAATGTTGATAGTGCTTTTTACAGGTTACGTTTATTTTCTTCTTTATACTGTCTTTATTTTCCATATATTTTAAATGAACGTGTGTAAACCTTTGTAATTGGCTGGAGTAGGAGGTGATATTTCAGAAGTAGGCCAAATAGTCTCATGAAAATGAATGAGACTGTTAAGTAAGTAAGGAGAAAGTCTTGTGTAAACTAGTAGATCTGAAAGAAGGACCCTGCTGTGATCTCACTTCCCAAATGCCAAGCTAGCACTGCTGCAAGTGTAGTCCACATCTTGGCACAACAAGCCCACATTTGAATTAGCATAAAATAAAAATATTTTATAAACATTTTGGCTCAAATAGGGGTTGATGCAAAAAGGTTGTGTCAAATGAAGTCATTTTTATTATTGCTTGACAAGATGGTCTCATTACAGCCTTTCCACAGGCCAACATATTCACACAACACTCTAGCCTTTGAATAAAAATACATAAACACTCTACCCTTTAAATAAAAATTTGAAATGGTTGGATTCCGTGGAGAGACAGATAGAAAGTTAGGTCATTCTCCTTGCCATCCAAGTCTTGATTGGTTCCATAATACAACTGAGTCTTGTGTATTAAGGACTCTCCTGGGTTTCTAATATGTTGATGATGTAGGAAGCATTTTATAGTTCTCATTTATGTGTTCTGAACAAAGTTTAAATTTCTTGGTTTCTGAAAAGGTACGATTATTAAGTAAGAATTTATAGCTTGGTACTCTCCATTTTAAGAAATATTATCATTGCTTGCAATTTTAAATGTATTAACATAAGGTGACTTCAGAGATTTATGACTAAAAGTAAATTTGTTGCCAAAATTAAAGTCAGCAATCATAAAGATGAAAAAGGAGAGGTATTGTTTGTTTAAAACACATATGCACCCTGACACTGAAATCAACTTTAGAATAAAGAAGTGTTTGCAAATGTAGATCAAACAAGTCCTATTATCGTCTCATTTACACACATTTTAATTATACAGTTGAAATGGGAAGAGTTCCCTTATCCACCTCGCAGAGCGTGTGATGGGGTGTGGCCTGCTTCTTCCGTGCCCACTGCTTAGACCTCTTGGGGGAGCATGCAGATGGGCGGGCTGTGGGGCTCCCACCCTGCGGCGGTGTCTAGAGGTGAATGTTGACCGCTGAAGCCCCAGCGCGCATGCGTTACAGGGCGCGCTTTCAGCTTAGCCGTCCATGGGCGGCTTGTGTTAGCTCAGTTAGACCCCTTATCTCCAGGACAGAGCGCTTTCTGTATCCTGAGGTTCTTGCTTTGGTATAATGGAAGAATCAGATCACACGTGGGCTTGGAGAATAAGTGCAAGGTTTTATTGAGTGGAAGTAGCTCTCAGCAGATGGGGTAGCCAGAAGGGAGGTGGAGTGGGAAGGTGGTTTTCCCCTGGAGTCGGGTCTCTCAGTGGCCGGAGCTCTCCTCTCTCCGCCCCGGCCAAACCCCGCATACTTCCGCCCGTCTATGGACTGCTGGTGTACTGGTGCCTGTTGGTACGCTCTCGACGTTCTCTCAACATCCAGCTGCGTGTGTGTTCCTCTGGATGTCCAGCCGCTTGTGTCTCTGCCTGCTAGAGTCTCGGCGTTTTTATAGGCACAGCATGGGGGTGTGGTGGGCCAGGATGGTCTTGGGGAAATGCAACATTTGGGAGTGAAGGCAGGAGTGCCTGTCCTCACCTAGTCCGTGGGCATAGGCCCCGGGGTGGAGCCCTTACCAGGAACCTGCCCTTCTCCTCCCGGCACTTCCCTGCCCCTCTTCCGTATCACAACCCCTCTCTTTTATACGCAAAAATTTTAGTAAACTTTTAGATGAAGTGACTGACACTTTTTTACTTATCAGGGAATTTCTGTAATGAAGAGCAGAGAGCATTTTCTCCTCCTGTTGTGAGGTGGGTGCTACCTGCTGTGCAAGTAGATTGTTTCTCAGCTTAGACAAGCTGTTTTATCTTGATTTTTCCATCTGTGTAAAGGACAGAATATAAACCCTGTAAAAAATTAGCATCAGTGCGCTATACATGTATGAATAAAGCTTACCTCTGACTTGTAAAAATTTTCGCAACGATTTATAAAAAGTCCTTACTTGTTGCTGATTCCAATTCATTTTCATCCACCTGTAGTCTTGCTTCCTAGATCAAGATGTCTTCAAAGTTACTTAAATGAGTAAGAAGTATTTCAACTTGAAGAAAAAATATATACAGCTATATTAAATGATATTGTACTTCTGAATAAAGTCATAGGCAGTTAGATCTTTTCCAGTATTTTATTATAAAACTTTTTAAGCATACAGAATAATTGAATAAATTTTACCTCAAATACCCACATACCACCCAAATTCTATAATTAATGTCTACAATTACTGTTGCATTTTGAGCAAAAATTACTATTTAAGTAATTACCGCAGTGCTAATGGCTTACAGCTATAAACAATTTGCACAAACACAAGTTACTAAAAATTTGCATTTTATGGGATATAGATAGCAGTTCAAACTTTTAAAATATTTTTATCTTAAGTATTTACCTGACCCCTCTACAACCTGCTTTTATGCCCACCTCCCTCCATCTAGGCTCAAGCAGCTTCACGAGAAACACTCTAGTGGCATTGCATGCCATTTTCAACCAGTGTCCAGCAGTCAGGATTATAGCAGTGGTGGCTGAAAACAGCAAGGGAGAGAACCTCTGACTTCTCAGGGTGGCATTGTTCATTCAGCATATATTCTATTGAGTACCTGCCATGGTCACTGTTGTGGTTGCTACGAATGACAGTGTATGGTCCCACTGAGGTC